AAAGCGCCTTTGGAGAGAGTGTGGATAACTGCACGAATCAGTGAGAACTACGGTAACAGGCCCGAACTAATGCACTGCTTGATCCCCTGCCATAGGACTTAGACATTCTCCCTCTCAACCCCAGTATTCCTTTGGAGGCTCCAGGGAACACGAAACAGGAAGTCCCGCCTCCGTCAGGACAGAGGCAAAAGACGGGGCTACTGCAGAGACTGCGCAGGAAATACTTCCTGTCGGGGCAGGATGGGCGGCCGTGGTGCTGGGCCGCCCCGGAAGTGAGTTGGCAGTCAGTGGCGGCGTCCTCTTTCCGGGCCGCCTAGGCTCACCTACATGGGTTTGGGGGCAGGTTCTGCGTATTTGAAGGCGTACTGAAGTAGGTTATCGTATTTAAAATGCCAGACCCGGGCACGGTGTCGCAGGCCTAGAATCCCAACGGCTCGGGAGGATAAGGCTGGGGAAACACAACTTTAAGGCCAGCCTCTGCATCTGAGGTCCTAAGCAGCTTAGTGACACCCTGTCTCAAAACATAAAAGGGGGCTGGGTTGATAGAGCGCTCGGCTAGCATGTGTGAGGCCCCGGGTTCGATCCCCAGCACCACGTAAAAGTAAATATAAACAAAATAAAGGTGTTGTATCCATCTACAACTAAGATATTAAAAAACATAAGAATGTAGCTCAGTGGTTTTGGACCCCTGGGTTCAATCTCCAGTTTAAAAAAAAAAAAAGTAAAAAATGCCAAAAATTCCGTGTAAAAGAATCAAGTGCAATTTTGAGTGCAAGTGGAAAGGAGAGATTTGTTTAAAAACAAGTCATATACACACACACCACCCCCGCATGAAGTCAAGAAGCCACATGGACTTAGTGTGATCCATTTCTACCCAGTCTGGATCCAGGAGCTGGGGGGTGGGTCCAACATTTGTTTGGTAAACTGAACTAACATCCCCAAACCTTTTTTGAAAATTTGAGACAGGGTCTCACTAAATTGCTTAGTGCCTCACTAAATTGCTGAGGCTGGCCTCAAACTTGCAATTCTGCCTCAAGGACCTGAGTTACAGGTGGGTGTGTACTACTACTACCAGGGTCCAAGATTTTGAGATTGCTTTTTTTTTTTCTTTCTTTCTTGAGTCAGCTTTGGGCATTTCTTCGCAACGTGGATTTCATTCCCCTTAGTTCATAAGTTTCTCAGAGGGCAGGAGAATTTCTGGAACTTTTAGCAAGTGTTTTGAGAATCTGATTTCCTGTCACTATAGCCTCTGGGAACTTGTTCTTTTGAGGTATAGTTGTTATTAAAATGTATTCATTTTGTTGTGTGCCTGTAATCCCAGCTACTTGGAGGCTGAGGCAGGAGGACACAAATGTGAGGCAAGCCTGGCAACTGATCAAAATAAAAAGGGCTGAGGATATGACTTGATGATAAAGTGCCCCTGGGTTCAAGTCCTATACTGCTAAATAAATAAAATTACTATACTTTTTAGTATGACTATGGTAAGTAGAATTCTAGGATTTGTTAGTTGGAATTCTATATATAAGACCCAGACAAGTGTCTGGCTAGAGTGACTAGCTGAATTACTGACAGTGCTATTAGGGGACAGACAGGTGCAAATGGAACATGAAATTATGGGAATAATTCTTTGAAATAGGCCCACTCTGTTGACTCCCTCGCATCCTCCCATGCTTTCTTTTTACCTGACTTAAGTGGCCAGGCACGTTGCATTCCTCAGCAAACTACCTGTTAACCGCAGGAGAAATGCAGACCCCAAATAATGTTGATGAGAGGAACCCAAGCTACTTGAAGGGGGAGACTTGTGTGCTTTTTCACAGACCAGATCTTGAAATTCAGGGAGATAAGGACAATTCCTCCTAATCATAAAATCTGTAAGAATTTATAATTAAGAATCGAATTAGAATCAATCATGGGCCAAAGTGACCTAGAGTTGTCATGGCAGTGGGGACTTGAAAGTGATGTCATTTTGCTGTCAGTCAAAAATCAAGTGGGTGGGACTGCCTGGAAACTTCTCTGGGATCCCCAACAAAATTGGAGTGCAGAAGAGGCACACTGTCCCTTATCCTCTCTGAGAGGACCCACTCTCTCTCTCGACTGAGTGCTGCTTTCCCTTTTGCTATCTCTTCAATAAACTGATGCCTGTTACCCTGAAATCTTTCTGACTTGATTGTAAGAACTGGGGTTTGAAGTAGGGGGGATCTTTGTGCTGCCAGTTTCCCAGAAGGCCCCAGCTCTATAACAGTGTTACGAAGATTTCTCTGGTGTTTTAAGAAAAAAAGTAGATTCATTGCTCATCATAGCACTTACTCCATTATGCCATTATTTTCTATTTGCTGATCTCTCTCAGTAAACTACTTTGGAGCTCAGAGACCACAGATACTCATCTCTATCTCCAGGACCTACCAGTATCTGACATGAAGCAGGTGTTCAGTAAATATTTGTTGAAAGAAGAATTAGATCCCCTGACTCCTGGCACTAGGTTGCTGTTTATCCTTTGTTAAGTAGAGGTAGAGGTGGGTACCAGCATAAGGTCCTGAGGTCTGAAAGTCCCAAGAAAATGGCTGAGCAGCCTGTCTGCCTACATGTAAAAAACAAACAAACAAACAAACAAAAAAAACTAAATGCTTAAAATAAACCCAGGATCATCCTGGAATGAAGATGGGGAATGGGGATAAGGTGGAGGTTGGGCAAATGCTGAAATCATTTACATATAACTCAAATACCCACAGGGGTCTCTAGCCTATAACTACAAATGAGGTCCTATTAACAGGCAAATTTCACAATTCCATGGGTGGTTCCTTGTGTGGGTAACTAGAGACCCTTGTAAGTCTCTCTTTGCCACCTAGTAGCTTGCAAAAGTCCCCCGTCTACTGGCTACTGCTCACGCTGATGTTGTTCCACCTTAGCTCTCAGACTGTCTCACTCCAGCATTTCCTATTTCCCCAAGCTCTTAGGGCTTACCTTCTTTTTAGTACTAGGGAAATACTCTCCCTCCTCTGAGCTTATCTTTTTGAAAGGTCTCAGAGCAACTCTGTCCAAGCCAATAGATGTTAGGGGTTTAATTGGACCACATTGTAACACATAACTCTCTCATCAGAATATATATCTGCCAGCAGAAAAACTTATCAGGGAAGGATTTTAGTAGTTACCATTGTGTGTCTGGAACCACTGTCCTAATTCTCAGCCCTTGTTTCTGAGATCTGCTCATAGAACTCAGTAACTTCAGTGAATTTTTTTTCCCAGGGGTCAATATGTTCCCTTTCTCAGCAAGGTTCACCGAGTATAGTCCTTGCCAGACACAGTAATCCCAGGAATTTGGGATGCTGAGGCAAAAGGATCACAAATCTGAGGCCAGCCCCAGAAATTTAGCAAGACTCTGTCTCAAAACAAAAAGACTGGAAAAGAAACTCAATGGTAAAGTGCCCCTGGTTTCAATCCCAGTACTGCTCCTGAAAAAATAAATAAGTGCACACATACACACACAAACACACACACACACACACACACACATCCTTGCCATATATATAAATATATACATATATAATCCTTGCTACATATATTACATTTAGTTATATTATACACAACAAAAGCCTTTTCCACAAATAGAGAAAATGAATTTTTGAAGAGGAAAGGGTAAGTTTGGGTCTGAGCTAGTATTAATGACAACAAACTTCAAAAGTTGTGGGGATACAAATATTTTCAAAACATACACTTTACCCATTGTTATACATCATCCTTATACAATCAACACTGAGGTAAACAGATGAACAAGTATAAAATATGAGTAATTTGCTGTATGTAAAGACAAAGATGCCCTAGTTGACTCTTTGGAGGGCAAGTAAGGATTGGTATTGATATAATTTTTAAAAAATTTATTCAATCCCCCTTGGAGTCAATGGCTGGGCAATCTATAAATAGAATCTAGTAAAGCCAAATGTCTTCATATCCACCCATCCATCCATCCTTCAAACACTTCAGTATTTACTCTGTGTGAGGCACTGTGCTGGACAGTAGAGACATCAGGATGAGTAAAACATGATTTCCACCCAAAAGGAGAAATAGTCAAGTAATTATGGTACGATGTGATGTCATATAATGCAGGCATAAGCAAAATATTATGGTAAAATGTATGAAATATGATATGTCAAGAGCTTTGTAATGTTTTGAACAACCAATAAAAAAATAATAATAAATTAAAAAAAAAATTATGGTAACCCTTGCCTAGAAGAATGAAAGAAAGGATTCAAAGAGAAGGTGTTTGAGCTGCAACTTGAAACAAAATGGAAGTGTTCCCAGAGAAATGAAGCTTTAGTTCCTATTCTAAAAGACAACAAGGCCAGGTGTGGTGGCACACAACTGTAATTCCAACAAAATGGGAAGCTGAGGCAGGCGTATCATAAGTTCAAGGCCAGAATCAGCAACTTAGCAACCCTGTTTCAAAAATAAAATAAAAAGGGCTGGGGATATAGCTCAGAGATAGACTGTGCCTGGGTTCAATCCCCAGTACCACAATCAATAAATAAATAAATAAAAACAAAAGAAAATTTTCTTCCTATTTTATTTATATATTTATCTATTTTTGTGCAGTACTGCAGATTGAAACCAGGCCACTCTACCACTAAGCTATATCCCTAGCCTTTTAGTTTTTGAGACAGAGTATCACAGAGTTGCTGATGCTGGCTTGCATTTATGACCCTCCTGCTTTAGCCTACTGATTTGCTGGGATTACAGGCATTGTACCTGGCCCAAATGTCTTTTTCAAAAAAGGAAAAAAATGAGAAAGGACTCCAACAATGATTTGCAAAACAAATATCTCCTATATAAGTAAATGTAAAAGGTGAATGCTCTGAATTACCAACATAATGATGTATTCCCATATGGAAACTCTTTGTGGTCTCTGCACATTGTTGATCAATAACCCTGCTGCTGTCAATTTAAGAAGGAAAAATGCTAAAGTGTGCAAACGGTAAGATAAAAGTTATTCAACCAAGCACAGTTCCTTAAAGTGTGAGGACTACTTCCTAACTTTATTAGGAATTTTTTGTCTTTTTTTGTTCTTGTTGCTCTTTAAAGAGACAGTTAAAAAGGCATAAAGGCACAAGATGGGAACTTAAAATCCAATTGCAATAATTACTCATGTTATTAGCCCCTCTTGAGTGGCATTATAGAAACCTCCTGAGTACCAAACAGTTTATGCTTTTACAAAACAGAACTCCTATATCATTGCACAGCACAGCTGCTGCTTCCTTGAACTTTCAGAAAATGAACCCCAGGTATTTTTCACAAATCCCATAGGGTTTCTACATTAAAATAAAGCAACAGTTATCAAGTCTAGAATAATATCAGAACTGCAGAAATGAGTTGTACTAGTTCCAAATGCTCAATTTTATGTTCCAAAAAAATGGAACAAAGTGCATCTCTCCTGGACACAGTCATTTTCACAGTGATGAACATATACATGTAGATGATCTGAGGCACACTCTGTGATTGATCATAAGAAAATGAAAGTAGAATCAATTCAAAATCCACATTTCATGATTCCGGGTCCTTATTCAGACAGAGTTGAACTCTTCACATCTCTGTATTACACATATTTTAGATCTTTCTTAAGAGTAGCTCTGGGTGCAGCATGATAAAGAAAATCAGATGTTTGGCTTGATAAAAGGTGTTCAAGGTATAGGTGCCACACTCATAGTAAGCTTCTTACCACAGGATAGCAGATCTGCTGCCATAGGGAGGATTCTTGTCCTATGATGAGTACTACAGTTCAGTTTTCAAAATTTTGGGAACAATCTGGTCATAGCCTTTCCTTCTTGTTACATTATAGGACAGGAATTTAGAGTATTCCGTTAAGAGGTTTTCCCAGTAACAGGTGATGTCTTCCATCTGCAAGTGGTCTATAATAAACTGGCTTCCCCTAGAGGAAAGATTAACAAGAATATTTTGAAACACAGAACTTAACTTAATAATAGCCTACATGTTAATAAGCTATCTTATGCCAAAACTTGTTCAGAGTACTTTACATGAATTTAATTAATTTGATCCTCAGAATCAATCCTATAGCCATCATATCTATATATATTTGCATTTATCAATACAACATAACATTTTCCCCCCTAAAAACAAACACATTAATAGCTGGTGATCACAGCTAGGCAAAATGGTTCATGCCTATAATTCCAGCAACTCAGGAGGCCAAGGCAGGCTCTAAAAGTTTGAGGCCAGCCTTGGCAGCTTGGTGAGACCCTGCCTCAAAAAAGAAAAAAAGAGCTGGGAATGTAGCTTGGTGATAAATTGTCCCTGGGTTCAATTCCCAGGCCTGGGGGAAAAAAAGGAAAGAAAAAGAAAAAAGCCACGGATCATAATAAGTATTTATTGAAATACCTTAAAGATTCCAATCTATTTCTATAAAGTTTGGGGCATATTAGTGTTGGATATGTTTTCCCCCTCCTCTGGAGAGTTTTAACTCTGAATTATCTCTGTACGATAAGGCTGATTTACAGACATCATATGGCGATAATATTCAGATAACATTAGCTATGGAAAAATGGGGATGATAAAGTAAGAAAAGGGAAAATGAAAAGAATTTACCTTTCAGCAATTTCTTGAGCTATATCATCATTTGCTTTTACAAATTGCAACAGCTCCCTAAAAGAAAAATAATTATTTGAACTCAAAATGTACACCAAACTTAGTACCAAGTCAGAAAAATCATAGCTTGATCTCTAGATATGTGGATAGTGGAATATTTCTTTCTTTGTTTTTGGCGGACACAACATCTTTGTTTGTATGTGGTGCTGAGGATCGAACCTGGGCCGCATGCATGCCAGGTGAGCGCGATACCGCTTGAGCTACATCCCCAGCCCGTGGAATATTTCTTTAAAGCAAGCCCACATACATATAAAAGGCAGCCTATTATAGATTTGGGACATAATTGAGAAAAAACAGAAATGTTCACAGATATAAATAAGAAATCAAAAGTGAAAACTTCCAACCTGTCTCCAAATTCTTCTTCTAGTCCCTAGGAGATAGAAGTGGGTCCACATTTCTGGCCCTTCTCCAATCTCATCCCATCAAGAGAAAATTTGCCTAAGCTTCACCGGGGTCAATTCTCATGCTATATCTGAAACGATGTTGATAATATAACAAGATCAAATATCCCTATCTTTAGCTTTTGAGAGATTAGAGCTTTTTTTTATTTTGTACTGTCTACATGTTATACACTGGAACCAGGATTAAAGCACTTTTCAAATTTAAATCCCACTTACAGCATTCTTAGACACTATAACCACTATACAATATATGCAAACCAAATAAAAGGTGGGAAAAAGCTTTTACTGAAAAAATTCATCAAGGGTAAATTCCTTATGCCAAGCATAGTGATGCACACCTGTAATCCCAGTGACTCAGAAGGTTAAGACAGGAGGTCACTTGCAATCGTTTGAGATAGCCCCAGCAACTTAGTGACACCCTGTCTCAAAATAAATAAATTTTAAAAAGGGCTAGGGATGTAACTCAGTGGTGAAGTACCCCTGGGTTCAATTCCCAGCACCAAGAGATGAAAACAGAAGAGTAAATGCCTTGTAATCCCAGTGACTTGGGAGTCTGAGAGAGGTGGATCACAAGTTTGAGGCCAGCCTTGGCAACTTAGAAGCAAATGATAGGATAGCTGCTTACTGGACATTGGAGAGGTCTGTTTTGACTGGGATATAGTGAACCCACGGCTTCAGCTGTGGATAGAAGAATTCTAGCCACTCATCACCAACATGGAAAACAAGTGAACCACAGAGGAAGAGGTGTTTGAACCGGAAACTTGCAGCTACGCCTCGAAAATTAAACAGATACCTACGGGGGAAAAAATGCAAAATATATTTGATACTCTTTATATTCTGCCACAAATATGACCTTTTTCTTGTTCCCTCCTTCCCTTTTCTCCTTTTATGATTCTCTCCTTTCCCTTTTCATTTTCAGTTTTCAAGAACACATTATTAGTATGTCCCTATAAGGTTTCCACAAACAGCCTGCTTTTCCAGGCTTGGGACTACAGGTTGCTCTGAGAATATCAGGGTACGGGAAAAGGGGGAATACCTTCTCCAGACAGAGCTAGATAGGTTCAGAAGCTCGGCTGAATATAGGTTCAGAAGGGATTTTGAATATCTTTGAATGTTGATTTTGGACATATCTGAGAAAATACAGAAATGTTCAATGATAAAAATCAAAAATCAAGAGTGAAAAAAAATATCACACGCTTCTCTGTATGGGTATAATATCTTTATAGTCATGACCCCCAAAGCCCTATTTTTCCTTCAGTATACCCCCTCTGGTCAAAGGCACTCCCTGTTTCCTGGATAGTACCCTGAAGTTTAGGGAGAAGAACAAGTCTAACCTAATCCATCTTCAAAGAAACACTCCTTGGAAAACTGCTGTCACAGACTATAACACTTTCTTCTCAGCACTTCTCACACCTGCACTCCTGTCTCCAACCAGAGTTGCTCTTACACTATAGTTATCCTTGAGCATATAACCAGCATTTTTACCTTTGAGTCCCCCAGTTATCCTCCTCTGAGCCTTTACTTGTTCAACTAATATCTAGTCCTAGAATTTCATTATATTAGTGATTGATTAGTTTGTTGATTGCAGTGCTGGGAACCCAGGGCCTCACGCATGGTAAGTACATACTCTATCACTGAGCTTCATCGCCAACCCCTCAATATATTTATTACCCTGATAAATATTCAATCTAATGTCAACTGTTGGGTCAGAGGGATATGGAGAGGTAAACCCATCACTTTAACTAACAGCAAGTTCTCTGGAAGCAGGAAACATGTTTCATTCCTCTCTACAGTCCCTGCGTAGAACTCAGGTCAGTGCACATAGGCCCTCAGTAAAAGGCAGCTAAATGAATCAATGCTAGATATTAGTATTACAATTCTTACCCAAAGTAAAGCTGTTTCAAAAGAAAAATGGAAACCAAGAGTCAGGAGTTTTAGAAGTCTTACTTGTATTTGCAGTGATCCACAAGATGGACATCCTTAGCAGCTGGCTTTCCCAAGGTATCCTTTATGTGAAAGGGAAGTTATTAGTATTAGTAGGAATAGCACTTATGGGCAACCAATGTGGAGCAAGCATTGTAAAACATTTCTTCAACATAATCTCACTTAAGCCTCATAATAAACATACTCAGGAGGTATTATTATCTCATTAAACAGATGAGGAAGCTAAGGTTTAAAGGAGTTGGGAGACTTGCTCAGGATCACTGGCCCTAAGTAGAAATGCTAAGGTTTTAATCATGGCCTATAGCACATTTCACTCTGTGTAAATTACACACACAGAAGATAATTTGGGGGCATGGAATATATTTTTAAATAAATATTCAAACTGACTGGACACGGCAGTGCATGCCTATAATCTTAGCTATTCAGGAGGCAGAGGCAGAAACATCCCAAGTTTGAGGTCAGCCTGGGCAACTTTGTGATCATTTGTCTCAAAATAAAATTTTAAAAAGGCTTGGGGAATTAGCTCAATGGTAGAGTGCCCCTAGAATCATCCCAAATACCACAAAAATAATTAAAAAAAAAAATTGACACCATTTATAGTGGCAGGATACTTCACGAAAAATCCAGATCTCCAACTTCTCTTAGGAAAAAATAAATAAAAAGGAGTATCTGGCAAACTGGACTCCCACTCCCACTTGGCAGCAATCAAATGGAGCTGTTAGTGCTCTCTCTGACTCCTTTACATCACCTGCTGGCCTTTCAGGGAATTTGATTTAGGACCCCTATGTACATTCCACCCTCCTTAGAAGATAGTAAAATGTACGAGGGCAATAAGTCTGTGTGCTTTTGCTGCCCCCCACAGTAGATGCTAACAAACTGTGTGCAGAATACATTCTTTCATATTTTTATTATTTGACCAGATTTCTTAAATTCATTAGTTCCTATTAATTGAAACTATATCAGATTGCCAGAGGTGGTAACTAATTCCTGTAATCCCAGCTATTAAGGAGATAGAAGCAAGAGGATTGCAAACTGGAGGCCAGTCTGGGTAATTTAGCAAGACTCAATACCAAGAAAAAAAGCGGGGGGGGGGGGGGGGCATGGGGTGGACTGGGGATGTAGTTCAGTGGTACAACACCCCTGGGTTCAATTCCCAGTACTGAAAGAGAGAGAAAAAAAGAAACTGTGTCAAATAATATATAACATCTTGAATACATTTGATTTTTCCTTAAGAAGTTTCAATTTTATTTATTTATTTTTGGTATTAGGGATTTAACCAGGGGGCAATTAACCTCTGAGCCACATCTCCAGCCTTTTTATTTTTTATTTTGAGACAGGGGTTCAAAAAGTTACTGAGGCTGACTTCAAACTTGCAATCTTCCTGCCTTAGCCTCTGAGTCACTGGGATTACAGGTGTATGCCATGACACCTGGCCCATTCAATCTTTTTCTCAGAGCATCTTCATATAGTATATGGAAATTTCAAGTGAGAAAATAATAGGATTTTCAGATCTTTAATTAAGGCAAGAAGTCATAGTTAAAAGGACACAGATGGATTCTAAACTAATAAAGTCCCAATGTCTGGCTTTGCCTTAGAATTATTTGGGAAATTTTAAAGAAATGAAGATCCCTAGACTCCCAAAGATTTTGATTCATTTGACTCATTGTTTAGGCCCTCTGGTTATACTATAGTCACAGTAGCTAATCACTGGTTTAAACCAAGGGTTGGGAAACCTCAGCTGACAGCCCAAATCCAACCCACTACTTGGCTTTGTAGAACCCAGGAACTAAACATTTTTATATTTTCAAGTGGTTGGAAAAAAAACAAAAGAAAAATATTTTATGTGTCAGCTGTAGTGTTACACATCTATAATCCCAGCAATTTGGCAGGCCGAGGCAGAAGGATCATAATTTTGAGTTCAGTCTCAGCAATTTAGCAAGACTTTATCTCATTATAAAAAATAAAAAAGGTTGGGATTGTAGCTCAGTGGTAGAGTATCCTGCCACAGAGGTGAATAATAAGAACAGAAACCATATGATCTATGAAACTCAAAATATTTGCTATCTGGCCTTTTTCATAAGAAACTTCCAAACTCTGGTTTAAACCTTTAAAGTAGTGTAATATAATTATGCTAGGAATAATTTGGCCAGAAAAGCAAGGTGGGTTTGAAAAAGAAGAATTTATAGATATGCTAATATTGGTTCATGAAAGTTTCTCTACATTCATCTCACCACTGAGAGGAAACCTAATCTCAAATTCTACCCAGTCGACAATGTTCTTTAGGTGAGCACATTCACTGCTATAGTTTTATTCAGATGATTGCTGATTACTTTCATAGATTTCCAAGCCTGGTTTTTGGTATACTCTGCATCAACAAGTTTTGGATTTTTCCGAGATAGAAGGATGAGAGGATCCCGTTCTGGATTTGTCCTATAAAAGAAACACAAGACATAAAACTATGTGCCATGGACCATAATACTGTCCCTAATATCTCAAAGGTAAGCAATATTAGAACCCATGTAAAGGGTGTCTGCACAGATGTATAATTCACTGGTTTCTGTGACAGTGGGGAAGGGCATTCTAAGTACTGCAGCACCTATGTGGTCCAGGCTGTCCCCACTTTATCCTTTAGGGATAGGAAGTATTTGGCCCTTTTTTGCTTACATCTGGTCTCTAAGGACATGCTGTTCTGGTCACTATAGCTACTTCCCAGGGAATGACTTCCCTTTCAGGAAGGTTCTCATAGCCTCTATAATTACTAGTATTCAGAACTATGTAACTAGGTAATCACCACTCACCAAAATAGCTACATGACTTTTGTTCTGTAGGCTCTATAAAGTCCAGGGCTTATGTAGTTTTTTGTATGTAGACTGTATGTAGAAAAAGTGTTAGTTATGGTACAGGTAGCAGAGGGGCTTGACATATGAGGGGTCATGGATTCCCTGAGAATCTGAAAAATCACATATCTCTATATAATTTTAAGGAAGTCCTAAAATTCTTGGAGCCCAGATACAGTCTCCAAGTGAAGATTCTGTGTTCTCAAGAGCTGAGAACCAGAGAAATTGGTAAGAGACAGTAAGCAGGGATAGTGGGCCCATCTGCGTACTGAAGTCCACTTCCAAAGCAAGGAGGAGAGTGGCTAGAGTACGATCTCTGATACACACCACATACGCTACAAAACCTTTCTCCCTTCATGGTCTTCCCTATCATCTGCATCACAGATATTTACTGTGTATCTACGTGCCAGTTACTGTTCTTGGCACTGGAGATATGGAGCTGAACAAAGCTCCCTTTTCCATTTCTCTCTTCTCTCTACTTCCTTCTCCATTTTCGCCAGCCTCAGTCTATGTTATTAAACACTGTTTGGAAGCCACATGGTCTGACGAAAAGGTAGTAGGGAGACTTGACTCCTGCTCTTCATTAACCAGCAGAGTGATAGTGGCTACTCTCAGGAAACTGCAAACAAGAAGACATTCATCTTCTTTTCAACATCATATAATCAGTGTCCAACACAGCCTTAGCACTCTAAAAATATCTGTTGAATGACTACTGGAGGAACTTTACTTCTTTGAATTTCAGTTAAATGAAGAGTGATTTGGGCAAATAATTCTCAATCTAAGATTCTAGGCTTCTACATTTATTTCTTAGTTATTTTAGCTTTCCCCTTTCCCTTGGGATCATGCCCTCAAGATTACTTATATATCACACACTGCTAGGAGCAATTTTTATAAGAGATTAGAAAATATAATCACCTTGATCCTCGAAAATATGCTGTGGAATTTTTCTTTCTCCATGGCCACTGTGCTGCTGACCTAAAAACACAGATTTTGATTAGTTTCTGTGCTTTTTTTCTCAACTCTATAAGGATATGTTTTAACCATGTCTAAAAATTAGTTCAGGGCTTTATATTTTTAAATAAATCTGATCAAGGGTACTCAAAAGAAAAATCTCACTGGACATGGTAGCACACATCTGTAATTCCAGCAGTTCAGGAAGCTGAGGCAGGAGGATCACAAGTTCAAGGACAGCCTCAGCAACTTATGGAGGCCCTAAGCAACTTAGCAAGACCCTGTCTCAAAATAAAAAAAATTTAAAAAAGGGCTGGAGAGGGCTGGGGATGTGGCTCAAGCGGTAGCGCGTTCGCCTGGCATGCGTGCTGCCCGGGTTTGATCCTCAGCACCACATACAAACAAAGATGTTGTGTTTGCCGATAACTAAAAGATAAATATTAAAAAAAAAAAAAAGGGCTGGAGATGTAGCTTAGGAGTTAAGCACCCTGAGTTCAATCCCTGGTAACAAAAATAAAACAAAAGCAAAAACAAAACAAAAGATAAAGAAAAAAGAAAAACTCCTGAATGATATTACCATCCCTTTTTTTATCATTTCACTCTTCTGGAGGGGCTCGCCAGGAATATCTACATGTCTACTGCCCTGTTAATAAGTAACAACATTAACTTGGTGGGAAAAAAAAGCTCCCAAACTCTGAATGACACGTTGGGGGCTGTTTGACACAATGAGGATTTACTCTCTACTTTAACAATGCTATTGATAGAATTAACATGAAGAAAACTGAGAAGAACATTAGAAATTGAATGAAAGGGAATTCACTCCCTGACTTCATGTTTTGGAGGTGTAGGTGTCAACAGATTTACTGACATTTGCAAAGCACCCTGGTATTATTACAGCTGTATGAAATGCTCTAGAAAGATAAAGTTCCTGAAACTCAGGTTTCAGTACACATTAGCATGACCAGCCTTCCTTGCTGAAATTGCTACTCAGCTGCATCATTTCTGACTTTGTTCATAGGAACTGTCCTTGCACAGAAGACTGCAGTACTTATCTCTGAAAAAGGAGAGGAAGGCTGAGTGAATGAGAGATTGGTGAACTATATTACAGGAATGGAGGAACACAGGATGTAGGTTCTTTTCTGATACCTAGTATCATGGAATTCACTTTTGCTCAGCTGAGAGCATTTCTCATTATTTCCCAGGCCCTCAGACCTCTAACATCAGCTAATCTGGCTCATTTTCTAACCCTTTCTTTTTTCTTTTCTTCCTTTTCTTTGGGGGGGAGGAGTGGGAAGGGGGGGAGTGGGTGGGGGGTGGCATTAGCAATTGAGCCCAGGGACACTCTACTACTAAGTAATATTCCCAAATCCCCAATCCTTTTCTTTTCTTTTGACACCAGGATTTAATCCAGGGGTGCTTAACGATTCCCAGTCCTTTTTTTTACTTTTTATTTTGAGACAGGATCTTGCTAAATTGCTTAGGGTCTCACTAAGTTACTGTGGCTGGCCTCAAACCTGTGATACTCCTACTTCACCCTCCTGAGTCACATGGTGGCGTGTGCCACCATGTCCAGCTTCTCCTCTAGTTCTTTCTTGCTAGATCACCTTTACCTGATCCTCCAGTTCAATGCCAGAACTATCTCTTGTTTCTCCTCATACTTCTTCCCATCAAAATATGAACATCATAGCACTAAATTTTTTTTTATTGTGGAAAAATGACAGGTTCATTATATTAAATTCTAACTGAAAAAGATAAAAGTAAAAATTCATTTGGACTCTCTCTACCCACAGGTAAGAATATAATGTTCTAGTGAAGAATTTCTTTTCAATCACACTTCTCTATATCAATGCTTTTCTTTCTCTTGCAGAGCTGCGGATTGAATCCAGGATCTTGTATGTTAGGTAAACCCTCAACCACTGAGCCACACCTGTTATTTGGAGTGATTTTATTTCTCCATCCTTACTCAGGGCCCACAGACATTTCTGATTATTACAACTGGAAGATTACTAGTGGCATTTAGTGAGTAGAGGCAAGAGATGCTGCTGAACATCCTATAAGGAATAGGACAGCTTCCCATAACAAAGAATTAAATTATCAAGTCCAAAATGTGAATAGTGCCAAGACTGATAAACCTTACTTTGTATAATAAGTCATTCCATATATGATAAAATAATTATATAACCAAATTGCAGTTTTTTATTCTGCAACTTCTTTAGACATGTATATATATATTTATATATAAAAATATATGATCAACAATTATATAACCAACACTTATACTTCCTATGTCCTGGATACTGTTTTATGTATATGCTTTATGTATATCAAATCATTCCCACAACCTTATAACATGAGTTTAATTAACTAATTGTAGTACTGAGGATCAAACCCAGGGGCACTCTACCACTGTGCTACAACCTTTTTGTTTTTTATTTTGAAACAAGTTCTCCCTAAGTTGCCCAAGCTGGCCTTGAATTAAACTGGGATTATAAACTGGGTGCAACTGCACCCAGTTAAAGTGGGTTTTATTACCCCTTTTTTACAGGCGAGCACCTTGAGAGGAGCAACTTGATCAGAGTCACACAGCTAATCAGGACCAAGATTTGAATCCAGAGTCCTGGTTTTTTTTAACTCCTTTTTCTACCCTGCCTTTCCATTCATTCATAGTATTCCATTTTAGAATCATGACATAATTCATGTCATCCCTTTTTGATAGGTTTGAAAAGTTTCCAACTTTTTTTTTTTTTTGGTATCAGGGATTGAATTCAAGAGTGCTTAATCACTGAGCCACATCTCCAGCCCTTTTTTATATTTTATTTAGAGACAGGGTCTCACTGAGTTGTTTAGGACCTCACTAAATTGCTGAGGCCGGCTTTGAACTTGCTATCCTCCTGCCTCAGCATCCCCAGCTGCTGGGATTATAGGCATGTGCAACCATACCCAACGGTAGTTTCCAACTTTTCACTCTAAGAAACATATGAGTAAACATCCTAGTATGTACATCTTTGCACACTTGTCATATTAGTTCCTCAGGAACTTATGCTAGCTGGGCATGGTGGTACACGCCCGTAATCCCTAGGACTTGAGAGGCTGAGGCAGAATGATTGCAAGTCAAAGCCAGCCTGGGCAATTAAATGAGACCCTGTCTCAAAATTTTTAAAAAGGGCCAGGGATGTAGATTAGTGGTATAGTATCCCTTTGTTCAATCCCCAGTACTGCAAAAATAAATAAACAAAACATAATAAAATAAAAAACAAAGAAAAGGAAAAAAGCACCTACACTGAATCATTATTACTGTGAAATGTAGCTGGATAAGGAATAAAGGAATACCTATGGCTTGGATGATGAGATCCATCTAAAAACCAAAACCATGGAAGGAAGATATCAACAGGCCAAAGTATGTTTAAGTCATGAACAGAGAAGATCTGGAATAAGCTTGCACTTGAGATACCTACAGGATAACTATGCTCCCACATACCTGCCTAAATTATCAAGTACATTTATACTCTTCCAAATATTTTCTGTGTTCTCCCATTACAATATGTTTATTCATTTTCTCTTATTATGAAAGTAATTTGCTCTTGAGATCTTTAAAGTACAGAAATATTTTAAAAGAAAATAAAAGGGTCCTGTAATCTCTCCCACAGAGGCACTGCTGACAGTTTAGGATAGATTCTTCTGCAATTTCTTTAGACATGTATATTTTTATATGTACACAGAATTGCTTTTACGATGAACAGTCTTATTTTTAACTTAAAGTCAATCTTTTTAAAGTAAAAAACTTAGTTATACTATACTGTTTATAGCCATGTGTCACTACACTCAGCTCTACTGCTTATTTCAACAAAACCCACAAAGAGAAAAATACAAAACCTTTCTAAAGGACCTACCTTACTAGATCTTCTCTGAAGAGGTCCCACCGTCCAAGACCAGTAGGATAAATTGGCCAAACAGCAGGTCCCCCTTCCCAAAATGTCCAAGCGGGATACATGATATCATGGTACTCGGATGTCTTCAACAGAAACAGAAAGGCCATTCTAAGTAAGTCTTGGAACAGAGCAAGAAGAAGCAAACTGCATTCATGACATGAGATATAGACAAAGGCCCTGCTGTAGTGTCCACTTGCCAAAGATACATTTCCCCTAGTCTGCAAGGTCCACACCCTAGACATTACAAGGCAAAAGTGACCATGGGTTAAAATCCACAGGATCACCATAGCCCAGAATTTAGAATAATATTAAAGGTCAACTTTTTCAGTTCCTCAAACTTCTGTTTTTTGTAGAGGAGATATACATACTGTTAAGATTTTATTTTAAGGAAATAATCTACCTACTTCTCTCATCATTTTACTGCTATTACATTTGGAGTTTTCACGGCCTTACCAGTTCTTTGTTATTTTCCAGTGGGTCCTTTGAGAGTAAAACCCAGGAAATACAGTACAATGATTAAGAGTGTGGGCTCTTGGGACAGATTGTGAGAGTTTGAATGCAGCCTCAACCGCTTTACAACTCTAGGCGAATTACTTAATCTCTCTCTGCCTCAGTTTTTTCATCATTGTATTGTGAAAATATTATCAATAATACTCTCTATTTTTAGGCTGATTTTGAATACAAAGTGTCTTAATACAAGCTTAGGGCAGTGTCCAGCAATTAGAAAGTATTTAATAAGTGTTGGCTAGTGGTTCCTGACACAGTTAAGCTCACATGGTTGGACAGTAAATCCTCAGCTATTTACTCACTGATCAGGGTGAGAAGTACCAATGGGCAGATAAGAGTATAATCACATCTTCCGAAGAAAGTTTGAAACCACCTGTTATTTTTCTTAGTATTTTTTTAGTTGTAGATGGACACATATCTTTATTTATTTATTTTTTATGTGGTGTTGAGGATCAAAGCCAGCACTTCACACATGCTAGGCAAGTGGTCTACTACTTAGCTATAACTCCAGCCCTTCATTTGTTACTTCTTATGATTTCTCTGTTAATATCTGGTCACTGATAAACCTCTAACAACTATTTCTGCATTGGGATTACATGTGCAATATGCTGTTTAACTTCTCTTAAATACTTAAAAATATTAAGTAATTCATCAAGCACTTCCACATAACAGCTATTCAATGGAAGCTACATAATTAACTACAAAGTTAACATATTAAAATCCCTCCCTTTGAAACTACGAATCGGTTTTTAAAAAATAGAAGGGAGGAAAGATAAAAGGAAAGTTAGTATACTGATGGTCATACTTTATTATCCACAGAAATAACAGATAAAAATAATAGACACCAAGTCCTTACTGACTTACATGGGAGCCTCTATCTGTTCTTCTTGAAGAGTTTCACGACAAACAATGAGACCAAGCACTTTTGAGAAATGAGGCTAAACCATGGACAATGCAATACAAAATGTGGCCTCAGCCCACTTGCAACACAGGAAATAAATAAGTCTAGAGAGAAAGTAAACTGTGATAAAGAAAAAAAAGTGAGAATAAAAGGTCCTTCTGCTTTGGAAAAACCAAGTCAGAGATGATGTTCCTTTTTAAAAATCCATGGGGTTTTCCTAAATCCACTTTCCACTCTTCCCCCATACTATTATTTATTTATTTTGTACTGGGGATTCAACACAAGGGATACTTTACCTGTGAGCTACATCTGCAGTCCTTTTTTGTTTTTTTATTTTGAGATAAAGTCTCACTAAATTGCTGAGGATCTCGCTACAGTGCTGAGGCTGGTCTCAAACCTGTGGTTCTCCTGCTTTAGCCTCCCAAGTGGCTGGAATTATAAGCATGTGCCACTGTGCCCTGCTTTTTTTTGGCGGGGGTGGGAGGTGGGGGCAGGAGGTGGTGGCACTAGAGATTGAACCCAAAGTTACTCTACCATTGAACTACATCCTCAACCATTCTTTGCTTTTGAGACAGGATCTCACAAAGTTGCCAAGGCTGGCCTTGATCTTGAGATTTTCCTGCCTCAGCTTCCCATGTCACTGGGATTACAGGGATGTGCCACCACGCCTGGCTCTCTGTAAGATTTCTGAGCCCTACTTCCAATGCCCTGTAGTTTCCTCAGGCCTCTTACTCCCTAGCCTCCATCCCTAGCACACAGACATGTAAGCAATCTTACATTATTTACGGATCCTCAACTCCATCTTCTCTGTCTTATTGCTCAACCACTGTGAACTTACGGGGACAGAGAACCCACTCTTGGACCTCAGGGGTCATCTTTACTATTACCCACTAGACTCTGCCACAAGACGATGATCTTTTCTCATATTCTAAAGGAACACCCTCCACCCCTCCCTTATGGCTCTTTTTGCGCTTACCTTACTGAAGGAGAAGACTGGGATGACAGGCTCCATCCATTTAGGAACCTGAGGATAGTCTCGTACATTGATTACCATCTCCATGTCAGGGAGGTGCCCAATAACTTCCAAAATAAAGTGCTCAACACCACTACATCTGTCAATGAGAAAAACTACAGTCACCAGAGTAGTGTCTGCAGAGTCTAGGATAAAGGGTCCCAGTCATACTTCAAAATGAGACAAGCCAGTGTTCAGATCATTAGCCTACTGCAAAGTGTCCTGAAAACAATGCTGCTGCTTCTTCTTTTTTTTTTTTTTTAATATTTTTAAAGTTACTGACGGACTTTATTTTTATTTACATGCAGTGCTGAGAATCAAACTCAGTGCCTCAAACATGCTAGGCAAGCGCTCTACCGCTGAGCAACAACCCCAGCCTGCTGAAAGCAATGCTTCTGAAGTACTTTACAAAGTTATATTGTGTAAATTATCATCCCTAGTTAAGCTATTCTGGCTTACAACACGTAATAAAATTTTCCAAATAAATAATCTTTGAAGGGAATATGATTGCAACTTCTACTACTTTTCCTCTATTCGTTCCCAGATTTTTCTTTATTTCCCTTTTATAGATTAGTTAATTATTAGGAAAGGTACACATTCTGATAGGAACTGGAAGAGCTAATTTTCTAATTGTGTTCCTGAGCTTTGCTTCTCACAAAGGCACTGCTATAGTTTGAATCTGGAAGGCCCCACAAAGGCCCATGTGCTAAACGCTTGGTCATCAACTTGGCTCTATTGGGAGTTAGTGGAAAATTAAGAGAATTATAAAAAGTGGGTACAGTGAGAGGTTTTAGGTCTTTGGGAGGGGTGCTCTTAAAAGAAACTGGAACACCATATCCATCTCTTTCTCTCTCTCTCTCTTTGCTTCCCATACACATTAAGGCAAACTATTTGCTCCACCACACACTCTCTGCCATGATACACTGTCTTGCTACAGGCCCAAAAGCAATGGGGCCAACTGATTATGGACTGAAATCTCTGAAATATAATATATTTAAGAGAGAGCAGCCTCCATTAAAGAAAGGGACACACCATTCTTTTCTCTTTTTAAGTTAATTTTCTCAGGTATTCTATTACAGTCATGAAAAACTAACACAGACACCATGTTATTTCCATCACAACTGTCATAGTTTATGGGGAGAGAAAATCTCTCCTCATTATCTTCAACTTAAATACAGAACACTATTAAAATTAGTTTTTTAAGTCAGAAAGAAGTGTTTGCATAATCACAAAGGCTGTAACATTACTTCCTGACTGAACTGTCTCAGGAATCCACAGAGGATTTCTTTAAAGAAAGAGGAGACACACAGACTGTTTAGTTTGTTTCTGCCCTATCCTTCAAGGTCCCGAACAGCACCACACTAGGGCAGCACTCCAAGCATTGATCAAAATTTTCTGGCCACATGGAAATGACTGATTTAAGATAATTTTATATATAAGGAAATGACTACAAAAAAATACCAATAGTTCAAAAACATAGGTAAAGATGCTCAATGGTACTAAAAATAAAATGTCATCCCCCCACTATGTACAACTATAATGCACCAATTTTAAAAAGTGGGGAAAGAAAATAAAATGTGAGCTGGATGCAATGGCATATGCTTGTAATCCCAGTGAATTGGAAATTTAGGCAAGAGGATCACAAATTTGAGGCTAACCTCAGTAAGTTGGTGAGACCCTGTCCCAAAATAAAAAATAAAAAGGGTTGGGGATGTGACTCAGTAGTATAGTGCCTCTGGGTTCAATACGTAGTACTGTAAAATAAAAGAAAGAAATGTCAAAAAATACATGCTGATTTTACCAATCAGATTGGCAAAGATCAAAAAGTCTAGTACACAATGTTGGTAAGGCTACAAGGTCTATTCAGAGAATGTGAAACAAGGACGGCAGAAATATGAACAGGTATCGCCATCTATCTATGCTGGCGACCTAACGCTGGGTTCACAAAATCTGACTATTCCAATAACTTAAGAAAATGGTGAAGAAAGCATGCAAACACACAGAAGCCCCTTTTCAAAATCCAGGAACGGCTCTGTGACCTTAGGGGTCCTGAAAGCAATGCTTATAAAGTACTTTACAAAGTTAGGATAAAGTACTATCCTAACCTTTTATTATGTAAATGATTATCCCTACAGAGCCACAGGAAGTCTTTATTCTTATATAGGGTACATAAAAGGCGATGTTCCATGGAACATTCTATCCACAAAAGGGCAAAGAGGTAGGATTAGAAGGAATAGGTGGTTGTAATACAGCCCAGTTGGATGACACCCACTCCTGGAGCAACATCTTCCTTATCTGAGTGGAGGTAATGTATTGCAGGGTGCAATAACTGTTCAGTACCCCTTTACTCAGGACTTAAAGGTGTACACATAGCTTCTGTCCAGAGTGGCTCCTGACAATCAAGAACAACCTCTCTGAAGGACAATTTATTTTTTATTTTTCATGATTTTAAAAACACATTAATTGACTTAGTTATTCCACTTCTAAAAACTTAGCTTACATATATATTTATAGAAATGCTCCAAGGTATGAGTACAAGAATATTCACTGCAGTGCTATTTCTGGTAGCCAAATATCAGAGGAACAGGAGTATGGTGAGAAATAATTTAAATGCTCACTGGCAGAGGTCCCAATAAAGAAATCCATATATTAGATCATTATACAGCAGTGAAAAAAGTGAGCTGTTCTCTCTGTACCTGGTCCATAATAGACATTCAGTAAATACCTATATTTTTCTTCCTCCTTCAGCCAAGCTCACCCCTGCTAGGTTCTATCAGCCTGTGTCCTGCAGCTACTCTAGCCAGGGACAGAAGAGACGAAAGGGCAAGGACAGTTTAGCCAATATATCCAGTGATGTGCCCAAACCTCATAAAGAGAGAGGAGATAGACTTCAATAGAGGAGCTGGAAGCTGAGCATGGTAATGTATGCCCGTAATCCCAATGATTCAGGAGGCTGAGGCAGGAGGATCCCAAGTTTGAGGCCAGCCTCAGCAACTTAGCAAGGCCCTAAGCATCTTAGCAAAGCTCTGTCTCAAAATAATATATAAATAAAAAAGGCTGAGGATGTAGCTCAGTGGTAAAATGCCCTGGGTTCAATCCCTAGTACAAATAAGGAAAAAAAAAAAAAAAAAAGGAACTGGCAAGAAAAATTCCCAGGCATGTGAAAGAGCTTATCAACTCACCCATGGTAGCAGTCCTCCGGAAATGTAAGGAGGGATTCACTTGTCAGGACCCTGAATGGGCTTCTAAAAGCAGTATCAAGTAGGCCTATATGTAATAAGGTCAGAAGATGCATCTACCTCATAACTCTTACCTTGAGGGAAACATGCAGTCATATTCTCGGTATAATTTGTTCTTAATGATCTGATAATGGGTCCCTAGCTTTCGTCTGACTACTTCCGCCATCATCTTCTTGGAGATTCCTCCTCGGAAAGGAATCAGATCCTCTTCTATAACACTGGAAAGGAGTAAGAATTGTCAAGGAAAGCAGCCTAGAAGCAGTACCATTCCATGAACTTCCCAAATGCATTTACATTTAGTACTAGAGAACACAGTAAACTGAGGCAAAGAGGGGTCAGGGACCAGAGAGTAGTTCAGAGGTAGCGCACTTGCTTAGCAAGTATGAGGCTCTGCATTTCATTCCTAAGCACCTTTGAAAAGAAAAAAAAAAAAAGCAATGAGCAAGAATGAGCAACTCTCTTCTCCAGAAGTACCATGGGTAAACAAAAAACATCAAACCTGCAGGGCATGGTGGCACAGCAATCTCGGAAGGCTGAGGCAGGAGGATCACAAGTTTAAGACCACCCTCAGCAACTTAATAAAACCCTGTCTCAAAATAAAACTTTTTAAAAGGCAGGGGGTGGGGGAAGGGCATTAGGGATGTAGAAGTAAATTGCTTCTGGATTCAATCATCAGTTGGGGGCAGGCATCAAACACAACAAAAGTACAAAAAGTTAATATTCAAGTAAATGTCTCTTCTTCTTCCCTCTATCTGGACTGCTTCTTCCTTGTTAACTTCATAGTCCTCTGTTTATGTCATGTCCAAGTCCTCCCAGCCACTGCAGACCTACTGACATATATCCCTTTGTCTGGACACCCACAAAAATTATGGTTCATGTTTCACAGTCTAACAGTCTATCCCCCACCCTGCCCATACACATGCTCTAAAAACCTGACAGAAAATAAACTATTTTGTATCTCCCTGGAAGCTCAGTACATAGTAAGTTTGCAATAAGTATCAGGTGAATATTTGAGGAGTCAGAATAATACAATGAGAAGTCGCCCTGCTGATGACCAATCTGAGATCTTTTATGTAGTTATCTTTCTACCATACCAAGTTCCAGTCCTAATTTGCACACATTAAAGGTAACCAACAGGAAATTAATGATTGGATTCATTGATAAATATGTGCATTCTTTCAACAGTTTTTATCCAGTGCACTTACTGAGGTGCAACAAAAAATAAGACATAGACCCAGAAATCAAGAAATTTTCAATCCATGGGATGAAATCATGATTCATGATTTCCACAGGATGTTCCACAGGATGAAGTAATGCTGAGACCACAGGGCCCATTCCAGAGCCAGGGCATTTGCACTCCTTAGAATTAAAGAGAACCACCTCAGTCATCCTTTCTGCTCTATTGCAACCAAAGTCTCTCAAGGGTTTTTTTTTGTTCCTTACCAGGGATTGAACCCAGAGGTGCTCAACCACTAAGCTACATCCCCAGCCGTTTTTATTTTTTTAAATTTTGAGACAAGAGTCTGGGTAAGTTGGTCTGGAACAAGTTCTCCTTCTGTCTCACCTACCAAGTCGCTGGGAATACAGGTATACACCACTCCCACCCAGCTCTCAGTAGGGTACAACCTTCTGACAAGAATTTAATTCAAAAGTCACATCAAAGAACTCACCCATGGTAGCAGCTGCAGTTTTGACTTGAACATGGTTCATAATTCTCCAAAGACCTGTTAATTTGGTCAATAAATATTTTCCACTTTGAACCTTCAAAAAGCGAAATGAAAGTCAACTAAATATCTCTGAGCATTTTTTTTTTCTTTCAGTAAGCAGACAGGGCCAACAAAAGATCAACACTTTCAGAAATCCCCTTCCTATCCCACTCTTTGAAACAAAGCACTAGGAAGGATTCTGTAACTCGCCAGCGCTTTAGTCAGATCTGCTCCTTTACGGGGCCATTAGGAGTCCAAGAAATTGGAAAATCCACGAGGTTAATGCTCAGCCTTCATTCAGAAGGCTATGGGTAAACTGGATGGCGACACGGACTCTCATCTTCTAATCAAATTGAGTCCGATAAAAAAAAAAAAAAGGATCAATTAAAAGTCATGGACATTAACCTTCCCTTCATCCCTTGTGACAACACACACACACACACACTCTCACAGCCCACCCACCCGCTTCTCCCAGTGGGTTCTAAGGAGGTACAGAACTGCCGAGCGCGGGCGATACCTCCTGCGCGAGAAGAGGGGTTTCCCTCTCCTCGCTATCACCAAGCATTCCGGGGATGGGTTGCCCGCCAGGGTCCTGGGCAGAAGCAGAGCCCCAGACACCCTCTCTCTCCACTTCAAGACGCCGGTGGCCGCTGCCCAACTCTGCGCTACAGCGGCTACAGCATCCTCTAGGACGCCTGCCACGGGGGGAGCGCCTCCAGGCCCGAGCCCAGCCGCAGACTCGGCCCTGCCGGGAGCCCACCTGACTCCTTCTGGCGGCCCTGCACTGGGAGCAGGAGTAGCAACAGCAGCCAGAGCCGAAGCCGAGCGCTGATCCGCCGCTCCATAGCCGGCCGACCCGCTGCTGACTCCCTGCCGCCCCGCCCCGCACAAAGATGGCGACCGGCTCCGCAACCCGGAGACGCGCGGGCTGCCCGGCACAGAGGGGGCCCCAGTGCGCGCCCCGGCGCAGGCCTGCGGAGATGCCAGCTGGAAACCAGGCGCCCGCACGCCGGCGGGCAAGCACCTCCAACAACGTCAATTCCTTCCATTCTACAGCATATTACAAATATTCTTTACAGCCAGAAAACTGAAGATCAGAGAGTACTTTGCTCCTACAGCTTCGCAGTCAGTGGCACAACCAAGTCTTGTCGTTGAGCCTAGGCTTGATCTTTCCACATATCAAACTGCTTCTTATTAAATAGCCTAGATTTGTTGAGCATGTGAATGTGCATAGAACAGTTTGCATGGCTGCAATCCCAGTGACCAGGGAGGCTGATGCAGGAGAATCCAAAGTTTGAGGCCAGCCTCAGCAATTTAGCAAGATCCTGTTTCAAAATAAAAAAATAATAAAGGGCTGGGAAGGTAGCTCAGAGGCAGAATGATCCTGGGTTCTAGTCCCCAAACTGCAAAAACAAAACAAGATCTCCAAATATTGCAAATAGTTTATCACAGGTCCCTTTGTAATAGGAATTTGTAACAGGTGGGGTGACTTAGGCATAGAAAAAAAAAATCAGTGGTGTTAAATAAAATTCACAAGAAGCCATTATTTGGACTGAGCTCCTGCAGTGTGCACCGACCAGACCAAATCAGAATGAAGTCACTTGACCTAGATACTAGTAATCAAACTGGTCTTTAAATGGTCTCCTTTAAAAAACAAAACAGGAGATTCACAGCAACCAATCAGAAAGAGCTCAGTCTAGCGGGCCAGCATAATAAAGAAGTTCCTGTTTTAACCCTCTAAGGAAAGTTAACTTTCATCCTGCTTTTCATTCTTTATTTCTTCATCCCTTTTCTGCCTGTTTAGCTAACCACCTCTGCTCAGATCTTGGAACAACTATTTTCATAGATGAGATGCCACCAGAACAACTATTTTCATAGATGAGATGCCACCAGAACAACTATTTTCATAGATAAGATGCCACCAGAACAACTGTTTTCACAGATGAGATGCTGCCAGATTCATAGCTCACTAATGAAAGCCAATTAGATCTTTATTTTTTGACAGGTGACAATATAAAACTGGATATTATACTTAACATATCCAGATATAGGTTATGTAGGCATGTATTAGTGATCATACAGTTCTTTATCCTTGTATAAATAACCTTAGGCTTTGCAGAACTACATGGAAGTACCAAAATCAAATTTGTGCCCTGGAATTTAGAACTATTAGAGAAAACAAATGCTTCCCTGAAGATAGTTTACCTTTATTTTTTGGTCGGGTCGGGGTGAGTACTGGAGATTGAGCCCATGGATGCTCTACCACTGAGCTACATGCTCAGACATTTTTTGAGATGGGTTCTCACTAAGTTGCCCAAGCTGGCGTCAAACGTGGGGATGTAGCTCAGTGGAATAGTGCCCCTGGGTTCAATTCCCAGTGCCCCCTTCTCCCCAAAAGCAAATACTGTAGTTTATTTATTTTTTTTCTTGAGTTAGGGTCTCACTAAGTTGTGGAGGCTGGCCTCAAACTTGTAATTCTCCTGTCTCACCCTCCCCAGTAGCTGGGATTGCAAGTATGTATGTAATAGGGGTTCACTTGATGCTTTGACTATATATATCCCTTGTGGCTGTGAAACTTACATGTTTTTTTCTTTCCCCCCAATCTTCTTTTCCCTAAAACTTCTGCTCCCTGATCTTCTTTTCCTTAAACTTCTTGCTTATCTCTCCTCCCTAATCTCATTTTCTCTGAATCACCTCTATAAAAGCCCCCTTTCATACTATGGCAGAATCACAGCTGTTGGGATAGGAATCCCCTGCATTTCTCCTTTGCTAGCAAAGTAATAAATCTTCTTTTTCCTTTTTCACAAAACTGTGTCCTCGCTATTGGATTGGCATTGGGGACAAGGAGCAAGCTTTCAGCAACATGTACTACAAGGTCAGGCTCAAATATTGTTGTTTAAAAGTACTTGCCTGAGTCTTCAAATTCATTTCATGTTACATCGCCTTTGATTATCATGATTCAGTCATACAGTAGGTTGCTTTACAAAAGTGCTCAGATCTCTGCATAAATTTTGTTTCTATTTCTATTTGGACTGCTTTTCCTTTTCGTGTGTGTGTGGGGGGGGTAGGGGGTATAGAGATCGTACCACTCACTACATTCTCAGTCTTTAAATTTTTTTTTTTTTTTAAATTCTGAGGCAGATTCTTACTAAGTTGCCCCGGCTGGCCTCAAACTTGTGATCTTTCTGCTTCCTCCTCCTGAGACACTGGGATTACAAATGCGTACCACCGCTCTGGGCTAGACAGCTTTTCTCTTCCATTGTTGCATTACTGCATTCAGTTTCTACTGAATATCTTTGCCTCAAAAAGACATGCCCCCAAATAGTACTCTCTTATTATTTACCTCAGCCCCTTGTTTGTCTCTTTCATAATACCTATAATTTCTAATTGTTTTATATATTAAATATTTTCCTCATTAGAATATAAGCCACAGGAGGGCAGGGATGTACCTGTCTTGATCACTAACAGTGTCTGGTACACAGTAGGCACTAAATAACTAATTGCTGAATGAAGGAAGGATGCTGGTGAACCAACAGAAAAGATCAAAGGAGTTTCAATGTAGCAAGTTAGGAAGCAGTTAACAGCAAATGTACAAAATTCCTTATGGCAAGAAGTGAATATAATGAAAGTATGTAATAATCTATGTTGGGTTTTATATATTCATGAATGAAGGCTCTGTGATACATTAGGATACTATAAATATTGGGGAATATTACTATCTTTAGTGGTTTTGATTAGCAGTCATTCTGGCTCTGTCTAGCTGGGTTATTTTTAACAGAGTACTTCTTTTCCTCTGAAATGGAAACCATGGTAGCATCTATCAAAGCTTTGTGAGACTTCTCTCTCTCACCTCCTCCCTACTGAAAATTCAACCCACGGCTTCACAGATGCTAGGCAAGCATTGTACTGTTTAACTACATCCCCAGCCCAGCCCTATGAGATTTAAATGAAACCTGTAAAGTTACTTGTCTAGTGTCTGACACAGCAACAACCTTCAATAAAAGTTAAGTAATTATATGATCAATATAAGGAGATCCCCACCCCACCCAGTGCTGAGAATTGAACACAGGGATGCTTTACCGCTCAGGTACATCTCCAGCCCTTTTTATTTTTTGAGACAGGGTCTCACTAAATTGTCGAATCTGACCTAGAACTTGCGATCCTCCAAGTAGCTGGGATTACAGGCTTGTGCCACTGCGGCAGGCAAAGGCTTTCTCTTAAAAGATTATGTTTGTGGAGTGGTAAGTCTTACATAAATGCTCCTTTTAATACTCTTACTCTTCTAATACCAAACTATTGGCTCATCAGGATTGAGCCTAAGGCCTGATGCATGCTAAACCCAACCTGTATCATTGAGTCTTTCTTACCTCTTTATCTGCCACTTCCTCTCCATTCTCCTGCAAAACTGCCTACTCATTCATGGAGTCTTGGCTTAAACCCCAAGTTCTCTACGAAGCTTTGTTTGGCACTCACTCCACCACCATCTCCAAGTTCATTACTAGAGATAGTTCATTTTACTATATCTGGACCTTGAATATAATAACGTTGCATTTATTGTAATAAACCCAAATTATTGTGTTTTCCCGCTATCTAGTCCTTTCCTCTAGACTGGGAGCTTCTGTGGTATTCACTTTTTAATCCTAGCATAATCTAGTCCTTTACAGTAAGCACGAGGTTGGCTGCTGAAGAGTTACTGAGACCCCTGAAATATTAAATAGGATAGTGATGGGAGCTTAGATGACGTCTCCCAGTCCTTATTTGAATGGGACAACAACTCGTACAGAGCTAGTCGTTGTACAACGTGAGATAAGAACAACTAGGCGGCCGAAGCCAGAGTAGGAAATACACCCGCCAGCTCGCGCTGGGAAGGTGGGATGACTGCGCAAGCGCATACCGGAGGCTGGAGGTCCATTCCTCCTGTTGCGAGTGCAGTTCCGGGGCTCGCTGCTGCTGGGGCGGGCAGCAGTCGCGGAGCTGACGTCATCACCGTGCGCTGCCACGTCTGCTCAGCTCCGCGGTAATGGAGGCTGAGGATGAGTGCTGACGGGGCTGGGTTCTGGTTCTAGCTTTAGCTCTGCCACTGATTCGGGGTCTAGGTCTGGGTCTGGGTCTAGCGGCCTGAAACCTGGACGCCCTGCTTCAACCCTCCAGGCGGGGACAGCCTGCATGCAGGCAGCTGGTTTGGAGAGCTTTAACGCCGGGAGCTAGTTATCTTGCCTGGGGTCCAGTCTTTAAAGCCACCTCCTCCTCCCAGGGATCCCGCCCCACTGGCCGGGCCTCCTCCATGCGTGAGTATTACCTAGCTGCCGCGTCCGACTGTCCCGGGTCTGCTTTCGTCCTCCCGGGTGGGCGACGGGGACCGCTTTGTCGTCTTCTTTTAGGGGCCGGTCTCTTGAATGTGGTTTCTCGCCATCTACCTTCCCGCTTCTCATATTTTCTCTTCTCTCCCAGTGTTCCCCTCATTTTTCTTTCCCTTTTTTTGTTGAGCAAGAACCAGCGACCCCAACACCCAACAGTTTGAATGCTGTTTCTCACCTTGGGTTTGTTAGTGTGCAGCCGAAGGCTGTTAGGAATAGGGAACATCAAATCAATCTGCAGTAGTGTTTTGAAAATCAGGGTTTTTCCAGCGTGTGATTCTTCAGTTTTTGGTTGTACTGTTTTAGGAAACATTTGGTGTTCACATTGGCGGAACTATGATTTTTGCCTTAGTTTGGTGAGGACACCAATTCTTTTCAGTGAGGATCTTTGTTACTTGCCTTATAATCTTGTAATTTCAATAATTTCCAAATGACGTTACCCGTTTTCCTGAAGTAGGCATCCACTTGAGTTCCTTTTGGTACTTTCGCTCTAACATGTGGAGGAGATACCACTTGAAC